AAATATATTTAACATCAGTAGTCATCAGGCAAATACAAATTAAACCACAGGGAGCTTCATATCCACTAGAATGACTAAAACTCAAAAGGCTGGCCATCACCTTTTAGTGTGTTAAGTGTTAGAGAATGCAGATATCAATAAATTCCTTGAAAGGAAAAGACCAGATGGAATTCTGAGTAGATATAGAGGGATTAACTGTTAATAAATCTGTTTTCCTTTGAATTGGAACGTAAGCACTATGTGCACAACGTAAGTAAAACTGTATTTGTGGTAGAGTGATAATGTCAAGAGTTCTTGGTATAACTTCTCAGGAATCCATGAAGCAAGTTTGTCATTAGGTAGTGAGAGATGTGAGAATTATTTGAAGAAGTTGAAAAGGTAGAGTTTAAACTCTTGTTATGCTGGAAAGCAGAAAAAATGTAAGACTGTTGGACAATATTGAGTCTCCGTTTGCACTTTGGGTGATNGAAGCAAGTTTGTCATTAGGTAGTAAGAGATGTGAGAATTATTTGAAGAAGTTGAAAAGGTAGAGTTTAAACTCTTGTTATGCTGGAAAGCAGAAAAAATGTAAGACTGTTGGACAATATTGAGTCTCCGTTTGCACTTTGGGTGATTTTACAGTGTTAATACTCCATATTTTGTGTAGAGGTAAGACACTGTAGAGACTGAGAGGACCAGGTGTGGAGTTAGGCTACATGATTTCAAATCCCATTTCTGAAATAAATCATACCATGCTCTTGGAAAGCGTAAAATTTTATTGTGCTTCTTCTTCCTCATCTGTAAAATGGGGATACTGGTGGTACTTACGTTGTATTTAAAGATGAAGTAAGTTAATATGTGTAAATATTGAGATACTCTTAGTATATAGTATTATCTCTGTGCCAATAATAGGGATACCTCTGTCTGCCTTCAGCTACTCTGAATACAAGTAAGTAAAAAAAGTAGCAGCCCATAGTTACAGGGATTCAGGGTTGGAAATTTTTGAGGTCAGTGCACTGGAGAGTGAGTTTAGAAAGTAAAGAACATTCCCAAGGGTATAATATGGAATCAGAACGTAAGCTGAATAACAAGAGAAATGAGACTAGGAGGTCGGGGGATGATAGTACTGAAATATGTTAATGAAGCTAATGAGTTGGATTTCAGCATGAGTTTGGTAAGTAGGGATCTAAGATAGATGTGTAGGAAGTATATAGAGAAAGTGGGACAGTTTACATTTTTTTAAAAAAAATATTTAATTGATTTTTAGAAAGACGAAGGGAGAGAAAGAAAAAAAAAAATCAATGTGAGAGAGAAAACCCGGGCATGTTTCCTGACCCAGGATCAAACCGGCAACCTTTCAGTGCGCTGAACAATGCCCAGCCAACTGATCCCCTCCGGCCAGAGCCACATTTTTGAATCACTGTACTTGCAAATCGGGTCTTATGGGGTGACAATGAGGATGGAAACTGAAGTAATATGAAAGAAATGGTTTGTTTTTTTAGCTTTTGGAGATAAAAAGATCCAAGGAGCTGTGGCACATTTCTAGACTGATCATCTGTGTGCATTTTGAAGTCATACACGAGCATAAAAAGCAGAAGGGGTGGGGAGGAGTACTATTATGAGCCAGATTCCAAAATTTTAACGTCTCAAAGAGAAGTCTGAATACGAAGTACCACGTAGGATAGAAAGTAGTGTTTGTACCATGTGCTCCATTGAAACTAAGTCTTTTTTAGAGGAAACAGGATAAAAGTTTTAGAAATGCCGTGAGAAAGGAAACCTACACTGCTCCACCTTTGCTGGTGTTTTAAAAGCCTTGCCTGAAAGGGTGATATCACTGAGGTGTGCCCAGGCTAAGAGGACAAAAGGAACTTTCACAAAAGAGGTTAAAGATATAGGACGTTTGATAAAATGTTTCAGGAGTGTAGTAAATGATGTGGAATTGCTACATTTCAGAGGATATAAAGAGCATAATGGAGTATAAATCAAAGAGAAGGAAGATGGACCTGGCAGCCTGAGGCTTCTGGCATTAAATAAATGGAGCTTCGCACATGAGTTTAGCCCCGATCATCTCTTAAAGATAAACAATCTCTCATGGCTAAGAAGATATTTGGAGAATTCCTGCAACTGCTCTCTCCTGCATTTAGCAACTGTTTGCTGGCCTGGAGGAAGGGTTATCCCATTGGGAGCATTACATATTCCAATATCCTCTGGGTGACTGACCTTTCTGGAAACCATGAGGAAAGATCTACAAATGGACAAAGAAACAAAGACCATTTACATTAAAGTTCTTGCAATGCAAGCATCACAATACATTCAAAACATATTTCATCTTTTTAACACATAATTTTAATAAAATCGATGTCTAAAAGTACATATGAAAACTTTTTTTTTAAATTCACAACTGAGGATATATATATTTTTAATTGATTTTAGAGAGACCTGAAGGGAGAGGAAAGAGAAAAACATTGATGTGAGATAAAGACATTGATTAGTTGCCTCCAGTATGCACCCAGACAGGATCAAAACCACAGCCTGAGTATGTGCCCTGACTGGGATTTGAACCCTCTACCTTTCGGTGTACAAGATGATGCTCCAACCAACTGAGCCACACTTGCCAGGGACATATGAAACTTTTTAATGTATAGTTAAGTATACTTATTACATGGGAAAATATAATTTCAATATAGTATTTCATCAATGTGCGCTAACTAGAAATTTCAGTAGAAAATTTTGATTAGTCTCTGAAAGTGAAATATCATAAACATTACGATGAGGGATGACAACGTAAATTGTTTTAATCCATTCCTTAATTATGTAGCTTCTCACTTATAGAGTGTGCTATAAAAATCAAAATTTCTTTGTAGCAGTGCCAATCCTTAGCTTAGAATTCGAGTCCAAAGAGGAGACTGAAATTCTGATCAGCATGTCCTCTTCTTTGAGTCTGACCCGAGCTGCTGCTGGTTTAACTATGATGCAATAATGAGAGCTTTCTCACTGCGAGGAGACTGTAATAACCATACACACCCTGGGCACTGATCTTCCTGACCTCAGCACCAAAGAGTAAAATAGCAGGGACGCTTTTCTATCAACAATAACATATCAAAATAAATGTGTAGCCAATAGAGCGCATATCCATAAATCCCTAGAACACAAATGTGACCATTCCCCTGGCTGCAGGCTCCTTCCATATCTTTTCAGGGTGGGAAAATGATAAAGGCTTACATTCCTTTACTGTCCCGACTGGACTACAAGTCAGTTCAGAACGTTTCTACAAACCTTGTCTCCTCTAAGGCCAAATCATTTTATGTAAATGGTAGCTGTTTACAGGGTGGGGCAAAAGGAGGTTTGCAGTTGTGAGTACTTGAAACAAAGTTTATTCTGGTATTATTATTTAATTATATTATTTTCCAAATGAACAATTGTAAACCTACTTCTGCTCCCACCCAGTATGTTGCAGAGAACAGCGGACAGTAAACTCTTCGTCAGTCAGATGGACTTTCAAGGAATAAAGTAAAAATGTTTATCTTCCTTTATAGCCTGTGGAATCCTTAAAACCAGGGAATATGTCTCTTTTCAATTTTTATACTTAAATGTATTTTTATTGCTTAAGAGAGTGCTAATTAGAGATGTTCAATAAGTGTAGGTTGACTTTTTGCATATGTGGCAGAACCTAGGGGAGGGAAAATGTGTTCTCTTCCTCTCCTTTACTTATACTTCTGTGCCCCCACCACCACACAAGAATCAGTGAGATATTATGAGTTATAGTCAATAAACTGCATTAAATGTTTACCCTATTTTGAGTGCTCAAAATTTACAACAATGAAAAATAAGGTACAGCACCAGTCCTCTGGCAGTCTGTAATGTAACGTTCTGCAACTACATGTGTAACTCTCATATATCCATGAGTCCGTGTGACTCAGTTTTTGCAGGATCATTTTTTTTTAAAAGAGCATTCAACTAGATTAGTGATTTTTCAACTGGTTTGCCACAGGAATTTTAAAACATGCAATACCTGACTATTTAGTCAGGGCCACTGACCTCTTTTTTCTCAAAGTGTCAGAAAAATGACAGCAGCCCACCCAACAATAGCCATCTGGTGTGAATGAATTAAAATTATATCTATTTTTTTGTCAGATTGGCAAAAAATATATCTTTTGGTGTTCCTCAGAATTTTAGTAGTTAGTTTATTGTGCCATGAAATGAAAAAGGTTGAAAATCGCCGCTCTAAATCAATTATCAATACTAACACTTCTGAAAACTCCATTTCTTCCTTTCCCAATTTTCATTGAACATGAACTGAGCCACAGATTCACATTCCAAGCTCCAAAACTCCTATTCTAGTTTGGAGACCTTTGCTCTCTTCCTCCCTTTTCTCTCTTTAATACATTATTTAAATGGAATTTCTACCTGCCCAGTAAGGTGAAGGAGGAGGGTGATAACTGAAGGAAAAATAAAGAGAAAGGAGGAAAGAGGGAACACTCATTAAAAATATTTATACTATCACATAGTTTTTCAGTTCTTATTATTGTTGTATCTGGCTCCTCACAGAGATGATTGGAGTAAGCATAAGGAGGCAGAAGAGATATTCTTATAAAATACATCTTTTTTCACAGTACATATGATCTATGTAAAACTTTATATTTCACTACATTGTTCATAATTCAAAGAGCAAGTTTTAAGACAAATATTTCCTCTGTGCTGTTAATTTTTTACAATATTCATCCCGTGTCTCTGAACGTTACCACCACACTCAATTGGTTCATTCAGCATCACTTCTTGAGCAATCCATATTTCACATTCTAAAGTAAAACTAACCACTAAGAAGCATAAAATTTAAGTAAACCTAAATAACTCCCCTTTTTTTTTCTCATTTTTCAGGACTTTATTCAGTTTCCAGGACCAGGTACTGAGCATTGTACACTTCCAGGCTTTTGACTCCAACCCCAACAATAGCCTATCACCTTCAAAAGTTTGAATTTTTTTTCTATTCTGGAATGTCAATGGTTTTCATGGTTTGCAAGCTATGTGTTCAAGCAACACTTCTCCTGCCGAGTGTTCTTACTGCACGTTTTCCCAGCAAGCATGTTTGTTTCCCTGGAGAACCTTACTCCACTGCTCCAGGACCTTTGCCTCCCCCAGGAGGGCTCGTTCCTCCTCCTGCAGGGCCCTGCTTTCTTCTCTGAGAGCCTTGTTCTCCTCACGAAGGGCCAGCTCCACCTTCCACAGAGCCTGCTCTTCCATCTCCAGCGCTATTCCTTCTTCCATCAGGGCCACTTCCTCCATCCTGATTGCTCTCTCCTGATGCTGCAGGGCCTTGATGTTCTCATGGAGAGACCTTATTTCTTCTCGAAGAGCTTTTGCCTCATTCTGGAAGGCTATCTCCTGCTCCCAGAGAGCCTTGATCTGAGCTTTCAGGGCTTTGTTCTTTTGCCAATAAGACTTTGTTTCTGTGCTCAAGACACTAATTTTTTCCTCATGTGACTTTTGGATCTCAAAGATCACGCTATTGAACATCCATAGGACCTGGTTTCGCTGTCTCCAGGTCTGATTCTTCTCCCGTGTTAACTGGTTATCCATTCGGAAGGTTTTGTTTTCTCTTCGGAGAGCTCTGTTTTCTCCCCAGAGGGACTTATTTTCTCTTCTAAGGGCTTTGTTTTCATCCCTAGACACCTTATTGTCTCTCTGAAGAATTTTTTCCACCTTCTGAGAGTCATGTTTGGGGTCTTTTTGATCTTGGATACAAAAGAGAAAAGTAGAGAAAAAATGCGCTATCTTTCCTCTTTTAATTCTCTTTGATTCAGACACAACCATTGTCTCCTTAGTGCTTTATCTGAGCAAACTGTATAAACTCCAAGTGCGCTGGGTTCAAGCAAAGGAGAAATAATGATGTTTGCAACAAAAAATGTACTGAATTTCTTCATATGTAATTGGCTGTTGTTTTGATTTGCACAAGGAATACCATGGCAGGGATCTAAACAAGGTTAGTTAGGCCCACTGCAGGAGAAAATAGGGAAAATATGAAGAAAAATCAGTAAATTAAGTATTAAGTTGATATAACAAACTAAATAAGTTTAATTAAATCTTAGCATATAAATTATACATTAATTCTTCTAGATTACAGATTGAATATTGTTCAAGGTTAATGCTGTGCTAAACAACTATCAAACTATTAATCTTCTACTAATATAATCATTATTTATAATTAAATCACCTGTTTTGGATGTGGAAAGATACCAGGTACTTAAAAAACATGCTTGGCTTTGTAAGAACCAGAAAACATATTTTAAAGAGATTATATACCCTATAGTTCTCCCCCCCCCATATTTCCTTAGCAATTTAGTAGTGATACAATATGTTTAAGCAGACTTACATTTCTGTGGCTTCTGAATTCCCTGCAAGCCAGATTTCTCTGTTCGTACTAGAAGACAACTAGGCAACATTCTATGTCATCTATAGTGATGTCACATAGTTGTTGACACTAATGAATGCTATACAGAATGTTTGGATGTTGTTTTAGTAAGTTTTAGAAAAAAGAAATGTAATTTTATTTTATTTTATTGTTGTTGGAGCCTTGCCTTTTTGTTTGTTTGTTTGTTACCATTTTCTCTAATTACTGCTGAGTGTAACCTGTTTGTAAGGCTTTAATGCTTTCTTTGGTCTCTCAGGAGGTAGTTAAATAATTTCCTTCATAGACCATTACTGCCAAGAAAACCCCTCCCAAACAATACATTGCTATTTATCATGTGAGGATTTATTGTGACTGGAATATATGTCAGGCACTGGAAATGTGGACAAAAAAGTCAATATTTCAAAGGATAAGTTTTATTCATAAGAAAGCTAAATGGGGATTTTGAAACACTTCCCTTCACGTTTTACATTCTGGCTACTTTGTGACCACTGTCCACTCTCTTTTTTAAATTCAATTTTAATATTTGATTCTTTTCTCTATTATTAAATGAGTATATATTTAGTTATTGCTTCCATATAAATTATTAAAATTTATTTAAAACATTGATTTTTCCTAGTAACTAAATAACTTCTAGTTATTGTATCTTAGAAATTGACAACTCGTAGTAAACATTGTACAATCAAAGGTGAAAATATTTTAAATGACTTTAAGATTAATACTGAATAATCAGCTTTAGGTAAATTTGTATGTTAAGGAAATAGCATCGGCAATTTTTAATTTCAGTAGTCTCATTTAAGATACATTTTATATTATTCAACATATATCTACCGCTAGACTATAAAACAAAAGAATATTTATCTTTATCATTTTTAAATGTAAACTTTTGGATATTAAATTATTTTATATTACGTAAATGTCACAATGTTTTAATGATTTATAATTATTAAGTTATCATTGGCTTTAGGTATAAACTTGAAGACTGAATATACAGCCCTGCCAGTCTGGCTCAATGGATGGCTGTCAGCTCGTGAATCTGAAGGTCATGGTTGGATTCCCCGTCAGAGCACATGCCTGGATTGCAGGCTCCACCCTCAGTAGGGGGTGTGCAGGAGGCAGCCGATCAGTGATTCTCTGTCATCATTCATGTTTCTATTTATCTCTCCCTCTCACCGTCCTCTCTCTGAAATCAATAAAAACATATTTTTAAAAAAAATTTTTAAAAGAAAGTTGAATATACAATAACATGTATAAACCAAAACCACTCACACCTGAATAAAGATTAGCCAATTTATTCATGAAACCAGATTTTTCTTAGCAGCTATTTACATTATATCTGCTTAACAAAGTTGAAACAAACATTTTTCTCATACATCAATAACTCTCCATTAAACTTAGTAAAAATACTAAAAATCTTCATGGCATGAAAGCTAATGTAAAATTAAGACAATTCATGTGAAAGTTTTTGATTACTGTGTTTTTATCTTGATGTAAGTGAAATATCCATTTGATAGTCTTCATCTATAATTGCATTTAGATAGAAAGTTTTTCGTGTGACTATGCACCAGATTCTTCTTCTTTTGTTAAATTTATCTTTATTGTTGAAAGTATTACAGATGTCCTCTTTTTTTCACCCATCGACCCCCTCCACCCTGCTCCCCCTCCCAGGCCTTCCCCACACTATTGTCTGTCCATGAGTTATGTATATATGTATATAAGTTTTTTGGTTAATCTCTTTCCCTTCCCCCCTCCACCCTTCTTTATATTAGTGTTTCTGCTTTTTTGAAACTGCTACCATGGCAGCTAAAAATTCATAAGGAATTCCAAAAAACAAAGAACTCTAGGCATTCTGTATTGGAATGTTGCAATTCTTGAGGTTTAAGGGCAAACTAGGGCGCAAGAAGGAAATCTATTGAAATGGATCTATTGAAAAAATTGAATTCATAATTTAAACTTTTCCCTCAAATAAACTACAGGCCCAGATGGCTTCATTAGTGAATTCTTTCAAATATTCAAGAAATAAATAGTATTAATATTTGCATGAATTATTTCAGATGGTAGGAAAAAAATGAACAACTTATTTTGAAACCACATCATCTTACATAGAAACCTCACAAGAAAGGAAAACTATAGTGTAAAATGTCTCATAAACACAGATGCACACCAAAATCAGTGATGCATAAAATAAATAATATATCATCTCCAAACTGTATGTAATCATGAATGCAAGATTGAGTTAACATTGAGAAATCAATTAAAGCAATTTACTTTCATAAACAGAACAAAGGAGAAAACTTTCATGTCTTGCCAAGATGAGAAAAGTAATTTCAGTAGATTCAGAGAAATCATTTAACACAAAAAGCATTTGATAACACAAAAATCACTTTCATGATTAAAAGCCAAAACCAAACCAACAATGTCACTACTACCAATGTCCTCTTAGTGCACTAGTAACAGAAAAGAACTTCTTTAATTCAATTATGAGCATTAAAAAAAAAAAAAAAACACGTGCATAAACATATCAGATGGTGAAATACTAATAGATCACAAATATATAAGGATGGGCACTATCATCACTTATATTCTTCATTGTCTTAAAGTTTCTTACTGCTACAAGCAAAGAAATAAAATATGTAAGGATTGGGGGGGAAATAAGGCTCACTATTTGCAAATTATGTTGCAAATATTTATAATAAAATATTAAGTTATAATAAAATAGTAAAACTAGTAAACTATTGAAATAAGATTTAGGAAGTTTATTGGATATAAGATCAATTTAAAAATCAGCTTTATTTACACATATTAACTAACAATTGAAAAATAAATTTTATAAATGTTTATTATTTATATTGTCAGCAAAAACAAAACACCTAGAAATAAATCTATGCAAGACCTCTATACAGAAAAGTATAAATATTATTGAGAGAAATTATGGAGATATAAGTAGCAGGGAGAATAGACCATATTAATGATTGGAAAATGCAATATTAGATGTGTAAAACCTCTCAAAGTGATTTATATGTGCAGTGGGTTTCCTGGAAAAATAATCCCAGCGGTTTGTGTAGATGCATATGTGTAAACTGAAAAACTGATTCTAATATTGCTATTAAAATGCAAGAAAAAGTCTTGATAATCTTGAAGATCAACTTTTTTTTTTAACCACAGAACTATCACATTTGATTTTATTTAGTAACACTGAGCAAGTTTTAACTCAAATGAGTGCAATACTTGATAAATTATATCATTTACCACATCTATTTTTAACTGCACAAAAAATAAGTAACTTAAAAATAAGAGATTTAAAAAATTTATAGTTGATCAAACTGTAGTGTTGATTCAAAGATAAATATGTAAACCAATGGATAGAACAGGAAACTCAGAAACAGATGCGCATATTCATGAACACTTGCTCCATGGAGCAAAACTGATGAATCTTACAAACAATAAAAATAAGTGAAATAAACAATATATATGATATTATTTCACTTCAATAAAATGCAAAACCATGTGATGATATATAATACTATAAATCAGAGTAGAGATCACTTTGGAGAAGTCAGGATGTGCTGATGATGGGATGCTGGTAGTGTCTAATTTTTAGTTCTAGGTGAGGATTCCATAAGTTCGTTCATTTTTTGATAATTCATAGAGCCACCCGCATAATTTTGACATTTTTATGCACGCATGATTTACTAAAAATATGTAAAAAGACAACAGGGGGAAGTGTTCTTGTGTGAATTGATGTAGTTTTGTGTTTTTCTAGTAGTCTGCCACTTAAAAGAAGTGTTATATTGAGCAATCAAACTTTTTTTTTATCTCCATTTCATGAACAGTATAATGAGGAAAGGAATACCTGATCTTTCTTATGACTTAAGATACATGTTCAGAACTTAAAAGTTTGTCTGGTACATAAGTGTGAATCACTTCCACCACCACCATCATCATCATTTTAATTTTTTTTAATTTGCTTACAGTGAAAAGGATGTGTAGCATATCTTTACATCTGCTTCAAATGTGACAGGCATTGTTGCTCCAGGAGCTTGCTTCACAGAATTTGCTGTTTCAAGATTTTCATTATTGGCAAATACATTATTTCAGATAAATAATAAATTTCAAAGCTGTCTTGCCTTTAGTGTCATTTAAACAAATTAAGTTGAAGAGAGGCAAAGAAAGTTAACTCTTTGGTTGTTTATTAATTAGTAATATTAGAAGATGCAGATTCAATTAAAGGAAAACAAATGGCAAGTGTAATATAATAATTTAAAAAGGAAATTTTGAAGCTGTCTATATTTTTATAAATAATGGTTTATCAATTTGTAGATGAATTTTCTTGTTTCAGGCTTTTAATTTATTTTACTGTGTTGACTAATGTAATGTTCCTAGAGTAATGTAATAACAGTGTTCA